ACCTTCGGATTGTCGCGGGAAATTTCTCGCGATTTCACGACGTAATTGCCGATGTGAATACAGTTGCATCTGTCAGATCCTGAATAACTCGGTATCATGAGCGCGTCCGGGACGGAAGTGGAGCGCGCTCGGATGGAATTCCCAGATGCATTATTAACAACTTTGCTAATCATTGACAAAGATGCGAGATACGGCACTCGGTGTTCAGCAGGCGGAGCTCAGCTCAGCGCTGTGAGCTTTGTAATAACCGTGCGTTCTTCCGCGGAAACTGCAAAATTGTAATTCGCCACTTGGGGGGGTTAAGCACGCGCGTTATTACGCGCGCATTCCGCCCTCTAATCAGGAAGCACGACAGAACTTCCCGTCGAGATCAATCCTGCCGTTCCGCACGAACGGCCGTGGCAGAGAACGCTCGTGAACGGCGCGGCATGATCTTGGAACTTCTCTCCCTACGTACGTCCCACTCCATAATCTCGAAGAGTGAGAGAGGGGGAAGAGAGGGGGATAGAGAGACGGAGTGTTAGAAACGCCGGTGAGAAACTATCTCGGACCGGTCGAGAACTTTCCGCAGAGGCGCAGCAACTATTCCGGGCGCAGCCGAGACGGATTCATACGCACCGAACTTGGTCAGGTTCACCGCGCGTGCCACGCGAGTCGCTCTTCGTGCTCGAGGAGAGAAACGCGACGTTTGCGAGAGAAAGAGAATGAGAAAGGCAGAGAGACAGAGAGAGAGAAAGAGAGAGGGGGGTGGTGAACGGAGGGTGAAAGAGAGTGAGAGAGCCCAGTGGCTGAGTTCCGGACCGTCTGATGCCGGATTACATCAAACTGGCATAACACACATCCGCCTCGGCTAGCTGACTGGCGAACTTGCCGCTCTTGAGACTTCGCCCGGAGATTCTCCCCGCTCGCTGGAGAGGAAACCTGGCCGGGGTAATTGCATCTATCCGAGCACGCCGTCAGAGACGGCAGATTGCGGACTTGGCCAACTTTGGACCACGACGATGCTCTCTCTCTCTCTCTCTCTTCCCTCGTTCACCCCTTCTTCCCTGATCTTTCGTCGGAGATCACGTAATCAGGGTTAGCCGCGATTCTTACGCTAATTCGCCGCGAAATCAAGAAAGCCTCGTTGGTCGCGCGAGCGATTGCGTGGGAACTATCGGGGGATCATCGAGGAAGAGAAGAGAGAGAGGTGCCCTCTGACGGTCGTTCGTTAATACCAGAGCGCGGAGTGACCTCGCGCAAACGAACAAGCGGATCGGGAGAACAGAATCCAATTCCGTTTCTCCCGTCGATGATCGATGAGCGAAATTGACACCCACATTATCGCGCCTCTCGGCTGGTTCGCATTTTTGAAAACGCCGACTGTCACCGTCGACGTCGCTGCGGCCGCGTACACCCGGAACGCCGGGACACGTTTCTCGGACAATCCGGCTTGGAATAGCCAAGGGGGTTGAATCCCCCTTCCAGTCCCGAGTCGAAGTCAGTCGAGTTAGGGGTTAAACGACGGCCGGTCGACGGATGATTGTGCGATCAATCGACCGTTTCGCTTCGCGGAAGGACAGTCTTTCCCCGGTTCCGTGTTCCGGGCTCTCCGTCCAGCCTCTACTTCGCGGAAGACATTCCGATTTCCATAAGCGACGTCCGGCAGAGACGTTTAAACGACGCCGGGCCAAACGCGGGTAATCCACCGTCAAAGCGCACGCGAGCAGACGATCCAATAAACGATCGACAGTGGAGCATCCCTTTGACGTGTGTTCATACATGGCTAGGCGAGTCCTCCTTTTGGGGGGGACCGACTTGTCGTCCGACAAGTAAGGAACACACACGTGTGTACACGCGCACCGACGCACGCGCGCTCACGCGTACACAGAACCGCGCGCGCGTCAACCACGTCGGACTTATCGAGGGAACACACGTACACACACACACATACGCGCGTTCTCTCTCCGAGCAATGTGGTCGCAATTTATGAGCACTCCGCGTGCACCGGCGTACACATCCACGATCGCACCGGGCAAGACGTCAACGTGATACGGGCGCGCACACGTGCACGTCACGTGTACGAACACACGTTCCTCCTTACCACCACCCCCCTCCCCCCCCGTTACGAACGTAGACTTTGTGGCGCGGGGTAGGAGCCTGTGGAGGGAAAATCCTTTGGCCAGCGAAGCTTGGATAATCGCGCTTCGAGCTATAGTCGCGCCTCTCCCTATCGCGGTAAGGGCGCCGGTGAGGAGAAGGAGGGTGGTTGCGGGTGGTGGATGTGCGAGGAACACGGCGGAGGAAGACGAGGAAGGCGAAAGCTCGCTTTGCTGCAATCGCAGCCTGCCCATCCACGTGGAAATCATAGCTCGCTGCGGGAGCCATCGGGACTCGAAATTGTCCGGAAACGCTTGCCGGGCTGTTCTCGGCGGAGTCTTCTTTTCTCTCCCTCTCCCCCTTCAAGAGAAGGGGAGGAAAGAGAAAGAGGAAGAAAGAGTGTGGGACGACTGCCTGCCGGCTGCTGCCTCTTCGGGGATTTGGGCGTAAAGAGACCTCCCGGAAGATTGCCTGAGGATCTCTTTGTAATTCGATGGCGACATTCGAGAAGACGCGTCCGATCGGACGCAGATCGAAATCGGGGTCGCGTTTAAGGAAATGTTACGACCGTCGGGGGTGGGAGTTCGGAACTGCATAACTATCGGCAGAATGGTCATCGATATTGTTAAAGGAGCGGTGTGTTTTATCTCACAGATGCGCCACCGGACTTCGGAGAAACGTCCGCGCGATCGTTCCGCCGCGACGGTGGAAGGAACTTGCGAGAAGTAAAATCAGAGAGGAGAGAAAAACCTCGCCCGACGATGAGTGAAGTAGTCTCGTCGATCTAAGAACTAAACTCGGGGAACTAATCGCGAGCTCCGATGGATGCTTCATTTCAAGCACCGTCTCGTTCGTGCGAAGTCGAGCGGGTACCCGCAATTGCAGTTGGTCCTCAGAGCACCGAGACTGGGTAAACACTCTCCCGGGCGGAATTTACGGGCACGAGCTGGTCGAGAGACGTGAGGAAGACGTCTGCGGGAAACGTGTCCTGAAAAGCACGAAGATTTATACGCGCCGATTCTCGCGATCGACGGGAGCGCACCGGGCACGGATCGAGAAATATCAAGTGCGGCGTAATAAATATCCTCCGCGCTCCCGCGCGTATTTCGCCAGAAATTTCTCACGGTACGTCTCTCTCCGCCGGAGAATCCGAGAATGATCCCCTGAGGGGTCAGAGACCGCGGGCGCGAAAGTGCCATATCGCGGAATCTGCCAGCGAGCGGCGGCGGCGGCGGCGACGGTAGCAGCACCGACGGCGGCGAAAGCTCGAGGTTCGCAGACTCTCTAGTCGTACGGGGACGGTATTGGATGTCATCACGAGAGAGATTACGTGCGGCTTTGAAAGAGGCCACCCCCCCCCCTCCCT